CCTCCCCGTCGCCGCCGCTGCCGGCCCCATAACGGTGCCCGGGGCGCAAGTTGCTGCGGTCTTGCCACCCGGGCCGGGGCGTGCGCCCTGGCCCCGGAGCCTGCGGCCGAGGCAGGAGGGCTGGCGGCCGCGGTGCCGCGCTTCCGCGGCGGGTGGGGGGAGCGAGCGCTCCGAGGGGCCTCGGGATGCATCCTGAGGGCGGCAGACGTGGGACTGAGACCCGCGAGCTCTGGGAGACGGATTCCGAGTGGCGGGTGGGAGGTTTAAAGGCCGGGGGTGGTTGGAAAATTGGTGGCTATGGAGGATATGGTGGGTTTTACTCCTACGCGGATTGTTTAAAATAACTTGTCTTGATAACGTCTTTAACACACTTTCCCTCTCTTCTTTTTTCTCCTTTTTATCACACCTTTCGTCATGCTACACAGAGACCTAAAGGGCAAGGAAATAAAGGTGAGTTTGGATTTTTTTTTCTTGTTTCTCAGTGTTGCTTTGACGTTCCTTTAAAATTGTATGAGGGTTTGTTTTTGCTGTAGTTCTTTTTCTTTCTTTTTTTTTTTTATGTAGGATTACAGCAGCGTGTTTATCATGACTAAGGCAGCCAAGTGCTATCCAAACTTCGGTAGTTTCTTGCTTGGAGGCCACTTTTATAGAAACTAAAGTACAAGAAGTATTTTTCTCAGCTGTGATTCACTTAAGCAGATTTTGTGAAAGTAGTGATACTTCGATAGTTTTCCAGTTTGTCTCTGTTATGTAATTTCTGCCTCAGAATTTCTACGTTATGTGTGTAGACAAGTACCTTCAAGTGGACATTTTGTTTGACATGTCTGAATTTCATTGGAACTTGTAGTTCACCCAGTATTAGGTGTCACATTAGTGAAGATTGTACTGTTAATCTCTGATTCTGCTGAACTCCATCTCAGTGAGGCAGTGACAGGAGAGAAATCAAAACTGAGCAGGCATGTCATCTTGCTATGTAGTCCTGATTGCAATATGTAACTCAATCTGGTACTTTACAGAGGGCTGAGAAGGAAATAATTTGTGAGATTTGTGCCAGGATTATATGATTTACTGTTAGTACCACTGAAAGTAAAGCATTTAAAATTTTGTATTTACTAATGTGGAACAATGCAGTCAGCTGATTGAAACACTATGACCTTAATCATGTGACATTAATATGTATAGAACCAGTTACTGCTTTTTTGGGATAGTGCCAATTAAAGAACAGTACAGCGAATTACTTATTTATAACATTTTGTAATAGGGCTTGGATTTACACTAAATAGAATTATACTTCCTGTTTTTTTATTTTTTTTAATTTCAATAACAGTTTCCAAAAAATAGGATTTATAGTAGCTTTCATTTTAGATGTAAGTTCAGTGTCTTTATTGGTGCTTTTTAATTTTTGGGGGCTTTTGAGAATTCAAGAAAAATAGGTTATGTATATATAATTTCGTTTGAGTTGTAGTACAGTTTAAATAAGAATTTGTATATACCAGATATATGATACTGTGTTAGGTAACAGTTATTTCTTTGTTTTGATTAAATATGCTTTTTTCATTATATAAACACAGATATTTTAACTTTTAGCATTCCAATTTTATTTTTAGAATTTTCTGTATTGTAAGCATAAACCTCAGAATTGGATACTATTGATTGATTTTACATGAGTTTTAAAAAATTTGTTTGTAAGCTTAAAAAGAATGCTCCATTAATTTCTTTTTTTGCTAGTCTGCCCATTAGGAAGTAAATAGACTTGGAGATATGTGGAATCTGTGGTCATTATTGCCTAGCATAAATTATTTTATCCTAGATCTATGGGGAGGTGGCACTTTGCAAGGCTATTTGAAATGCTAAGTGTTTTGTGTTACCTGCTTTAAGGTAAGTGCACAAGTTCTATGAAGTACTTAACTTGTTTGATAAAACAAAATAGAGCATCTACAGCATTGTAAGTTAGTACTGTATTGTTGTAAGTTAGTACTGTATTGTTGTAAGTTTGATTTTTGACATGGTCATCTCACTTAGGAATGCTCTAGCCACACATTTGCTATTATAGATATAAATTATTTCTAAATTACATCCCATATTGGCCATTTACAAATAAATATTTTTTAGTTATTTTAAAATGTTTTAATCCATCAGTTTTACTTTTATTAGGTGTATTTAGGTGGTGTTTCTTCCTTTCTTCCTAAACTGGTCAGTTCATAATTTCATAAAATAGAATTATGGATGGGGATTCCTGGGAGTTCTGAGTTCTAAAACTGCCTGTGGCTTAGTAGAGTTCCAATCTGAGTTCTAATACTGCCTGTAGTTTATTCAAGCTCATGTGCCAAGTGAGCGTGAATACGTTACACCTTTTTGTTAGAAGTTTCTCTGTGTAAAATTAATAATTTTAGCCACAAATCCTATTATGCTATGAGAATTGTTATAATTACAATTGCAATAATCCACTGCTGTAGTAGCATTTACATTTTCTGGATTTCATTTCACTTTACTCATTTTATCTATTTTTAAGGTCCAGCAAGACTCCGTTGTACAGTCTTGGCAGGGGGGAATGCTCTGGCCTAAAAGTGTCAATAATCATGTAAATTTGCTTAAAATGCTAGATGCTACAAGTGGGCAAATGCTCATATATGTTACTTAACATTTTTATGGCTATGCAGGGAGATTTACTAGGGGAAGTAGCACTGTAGCATTGGAAGCCAGAACTGATACAAGTAGCTATGTGTGTATTTGAGAAAAATTACATGCTTTGCTAATTTGGTTTTCAAGCTAGTAAATTTGTTTCACAATTATTTTTATGAAATAGGAAGCAAAGTTATTTTCTTAAGCTATAGCTTCATTGTCTAAGAATATGTGTAGTAATTTTCAATTCAGAAGTTAGCAAGATATGAAAAATACATGTCCCTAAGAAACTGGTGTCAGTTGAAGTTTTGAAACATTGTCCTTTTCAGTTGACTTAATATGATTTCAGAGTTACTATGTTTCTTTTTTGAATTATCTTGAGTTGACATTAGCCTAACACCTGTTTTTGGTGTCTTATTTTATGCTAAATGTTTTTTCTGTCTATCTTTAGTGACTCATTCACTGAAGGAGCTATGAGGAGTTCTCTGTCAGTCTCTTTGTTAAGGCAAAATCACAAAAGCTACAGGTTTACTGGTTTATAAGTAGGAGTCTTTTTTTAATGAATAGATTGTCTCTACATTAAATATTAGAACCCTTTACTGTCCTTGGCAAGGGTAGTACCAAAAAATAGATGTTTAAAATAATTATGTACCTGTTGGTCCATAATTTAATACTGATTTTATTACTTATTAACAAGGGGAATTTTTGCTTGCTAGGATAAAGGTAGGCTGTATCTTTATTTGCAAACACTGTATATGGAACTGTTGGGTACCATAGTTGTAGTCCCAGGCCTTGCCACCTCTTTTCTTCTATCTTTTACATTTAGGCAAATAAAAGGAAGAGAATTATCCTTTCTCTCTTTTCCCTCTTCTTCCCCTACCAATAGAGGGACATGTGCATTGTTCTATTAACCGAAATTTAAAATAACTAGGTTGAATTTAGCCATTGTAATGTTTTAGAAAAACAATGGAAAATGCCTTGTATTTGGCAATAATTCAGTTACAGTCCCTCCCTATCTTCTCCCAAAGTTGTTTCAAATTACTTTACTGTCATTATTTTAGGCTTCATTTTTTTTTTTTTTTTAATTATTCCTCATACCATTCCTGTAAGGAGATAGAGGGTATATGGTATTGTCACTGTTTTTGTAGGTGGGAAAACATGATGATCTGTTGACTTTCCTAACTTGATGTAGTCAGGACCAGAGCAAAGAATCACCTGGCTCCTAAGGCCCATGTTCTATCTTGATTTGACTCTGCTTCATAGGGCAGAGGAAACAGGCGAAGAATCATGTAAGTCATCTGTTCTTTTTTCCCCTGAAGAATTTTTACAGACTGTGGAACTAGTTGGATTTTATTATTATTTAATGGTTTTCAGTCTTCAAGACATTAGATTATCATTAATGTTCAAAACCTTAAGTCTTTAAGACAGTTGAATTTCCTAAAAGAAAGGTATGCCTCTGAAACTCAAAGGCTAGTTAGTATCTTATTTGGAGTTCACTGTAATTCAACTTGCTTGTCAGTATATGTGAAATACTTTCAATTAAACATCTTTTCCCTAGATTTTACCTACTTGTATATTTTAGGAATTTTTAGATATTTATGCACATTTAAATTTGGAGAGCGTATGTATGTATATTTACTTAGTGTGTATGAGAATACTGAATTTTTTAATGTCAGCCTATAAAGTTTTTCAGTGTAAGCACTAGAAAGGATAGAACAAAAGAAATGAGTAAGAATGCTAGAATATATTCAGATAAATGTGAAGTAGGTTCTTTTTGACATTATAGTATGAACTAAGTTTTTGATGGATATGAAATAGATGTAATTCTGAAATAGCCAAATATTGGCTAGTATGTACTAGTTTAATGGTCTAATAGTGAATTTTATTTTTTAGATGGTAATAGATCACATGCAACTTCCTTTGATAAAAGAAAACTAAAGCCTAGTGGTAAAGGAATAGATAGGTCAGAATCCTTTGGACTGAAATGATTAGCTTAGCCTTATATTGGGACTGAGAGTGACCTATTGCATCCTCCTCTATACTTTAATTTCTAGTGCCTATAAGTTCTAGGGAATACTTTTAGTTCAACCCTTGTCCTGATACAGTCCTTATCAAAAAGCTACATATTCCATGTGCCGCCTAAGTAGAACCAGAATGGAGTTTACCTTCAGATTGTTCTGTAGCCACTGAGGGGCAAAGAAGTATCATCAGAGGTGTCTTTTGAAGACCTCAGAGAGTAGTATCATACTTTGAGTGACCATTGCTACTAAGTGGATGGCAAAAGAACTAAATTTTACATATCTTTGTTCCCACCGTTAACTCAGTGTTACATTTTAGGTGATAAAACTCATGGGAAAATTAGAGGTAGTAAAAATGTTATATTATGAGGAACACACAGCTTAAACCTATCACCTTCGACCTTAATTTATAATACCTTGTGATGTGATACTTTTGAGCAGTAACTGTGTTCTAAGAGATTGACATAAAAAACTTTCAATTTTTTCATCTCGTATGTTTCAGTAGTAATATTTACATACTGTCACCACATCAAGTTTTAGCCTAGTAACATATTCATCCCTGTTTATGTGGGTCTAAAGTAATTTTTAGTCATATTTGGATCTTAAAATAGTCAGTGTAATAATATCCAAGATTATTGAACACTGTTATTTAATACTCAGATGAGACAATGTAGATACTATTAATAACCTCCTCAAAGAGAGTAGTAGTCCAGAGGTTAGAGAGGTTCAGTTACTCACTGGAGATCCTTCATCTCCTCAGTGATGGACTTAAGATTTAGATTCAGGACCTTCTTTCTTCTGGAGTCTGCTCAGAAGCGCTGTAAGACAGCATCCAGAGAATAACAGATTCATAGAGCATTTATGGAAATGATCTCTGAACAAGTGTGTCATTCTAAATTATCCGTCAATTCCTTCTCTTATGTGTTACAAGAGTAATAATGGTTATCCTTGGTGTTTTAAGTGTAATTGTTTGTACTTTCATGTGGAAATCTTTTTTGATTAAGAATTATGCCCCCCCCCCCCCCCCCTTTTTTTTTTTTGGCTAGATGTTGTGCATACTCACCAGAGAGAGAACATGAGTTAGAAGAGAGAGAAGAGAAAGCACCCTCCATGGAGAATAGTCACATCACAGTCCCTTCTTTATCGATCCTGTCTTTTGGAATTTTGAGCATGCACACACATATGCCTTGTGTATTTCTTAAGCTGCTCAGTCCAGGAATCAAACCATGTGTTAGTCATGTGGGATCTGGCTGCCTTAACCACCAGGCCACAGAGCTCCTGTTTATTTTTTATGATACAGTTCCAAATGAATTTAACTACTTTTCTTTAACAGGAGACATTTAGGACATTCACTGTGACTTATAGAGCAAAAATAGTTATTTCATTCTTTACTTTTACTAGATTAAATAATTGACTTAAACAGAGGTAGAAAGCATTTATAAAGATCTCTGTTGTCTATGATATTATCTAAAATAGTTAATTTAAATTTAAATACAACTTTGGGGAACTGTTTCCAACATTTTACTATTTTATTCACTGTGCTGTTGAAATTGAGATATTTATATATTTGTAAGAGGGATTATATAGGTGGCTTGTGTTTATATAATCTTGTGCTTACAGGTCACAGAATTTCTAACTTTTTTGTGGCATATTAATATTTGTATCTAAAATAAAGGTTTTTTTAAAAGGATTCTTAACTTAAAAAAAAAACTCAGCATTGCTTTTTGTGAATTTGCTTTAAAAATATTAAAAATGTTACTAGGTTTTGCTGTGAGTTTCATAATGATAATTACAACACCTCTAATGCAACCATGTTTTTTAGTTTCAGTACAAAACGGTTCGATTCATCAAAAAGATGCTGTAAATGATGATGATTTTGAGCCATACTTAAGTAGCCAGACAAATCAGGTAAGTCTTGTGACACTTTCAGATTTTAGGAAATGAACCTTTTACTAGTATTGATTTTTCAAATAGATGTTTCAGTGGCATGAGATTAACCATAACAAATTAATTTATGTAGTAAACTTGCATAGTAGTGAATAGAAGTTGCAGGTTTATGGTACATGATACTTTAGAAATTATGGGTGGCAGGACTGGTGGATGGCATAATGGTTATGTCACTAACTACTGTGTGGTTGACCGTGGTTTGAATCTAGGACCTGGTGGCTTAAAACTCAGAACGGGCATGTGTGCATACATGCCCAAAATCCTGAGAGAAGAATGGAGAAGGGATTGCAGCATGTCCATCCCTCCTCGGGGGGTGATTTCTCACTTTCTATCTCTCTGGCAGGTGTACATGCCCTGTAGCAATAATCTCTCTTTAAGGGAAAAAAAAAAAGAGGGACCAGCAGATGGCATAATGGTTATGATGCTGGACTCTCACCTAGTCGACCATGGTTTGAGTCCCCGACCCAGCTTTTTAAAACTCTGGCTGGGTGCATGTGCATGCGTGTCCAAAATCTCAAGAGGAGAATGGAGGAGAAGGGATTGCAGCATGGCCATCATCCCTGAGGGGTGATTTCTCACGTCTCTCTCTCGATCTCTCCAGCAAATGCACACACCTTATATCAAAACTCTCTTGAATAAGTAAATAAATGAATAAATAAAATTTAAAAAATCTCTCTCAAAAAAATTATCAGTGGTGGAAACTAGATTATGAAATATAATATAGAGATTTGAAGATGAATGCTGTTTGTAATTATGGTTTAGGTTTTTGAATGTTGAACTATAATTAAAGATTATAATCTTTAATGTCATTAGTTTGCGCCTGAAAGTTTTGATTAACTGTAGTATTTTCTTTTCATAATCCACTCCAGTTTGAATTCCATTGATATTTACTGAAAATTTTAATGTAACTTAACAATGTTAGGATACAGAATGAAGGACTTTATAAACATGCTTCTATTGTGTGGACATGGAAGATTGTCACATCAAGTAACTGGTGGCTTTTGAGGATTTACATACAGGAATTTGATTTAAATACTGGTAGACAATAAAATGAGGGTATTTGGCATGTGTATACCATGTTTGCGCCTATCCATGCTTGTTATGAAAAATATGTCATTGCTAGAAACAAATTTAAAACATTTTTCGGAATTAACCAGTTTCTCTATAAAGAAAACATAATGTAATGAAACTACTTTTATTTTGCTTAATGAAAAGATATGTGACAAATGTACTCTGAAATTTTAAGCTAGATTTTTTTTTTAAATTACAAAAAAAAAAGAGACCCAAATAGTATGAATTAAATTAACCATGTAGTTACAGAGAAATTTGAACGAAAAGTACGATGACCCAATAGTTCCCAACTTATGGAACGTAGGATTATTTTTAGGACTGTAGAGAGTGGTGGTTGTGGTTAGTCTGATCTGTGTCTTGATCATTTCTGCCTAACTATCCCCTCCTGGCTACTGAGCAACATTCCTGGCATACATTGGAGAGGGATAAAAACTGGTGATAGAATCTGTGAAGCTATGGTTTCTCTAAATAGGAAAAAAAAATTCATTTCAAAAAATGTGCATATATGTATATAATATAACATGATCCAAGTAACAGGTTTCCTTTTCTACTTAACGGTTATGAAAGTAGATCATTTGTCATGAAATGTGTAAATTATTAAAAAGTGCTTTTATTCTGATTTATATAGTAACTGTGATTAACCCTTTTATTACTGTTTCCTAGGTTTTTTGAGGAATTTTAATTTATGCTCACTCAAAATAGTCTTCATGATCAAATTGAAAATTTTATTGGGCTAAATGACTGAATTTTTCTTTTTTAGTTATATACACTATAACTTGATGTTATAGTGTATATATATATATATTTTTTTTTTTTTTTTTTGAGAGAGATTTTCACTGTAGGGCGCGTGCGTTCGCCAGACAGACAGAGAGAGACATAGAGACAGAAAGCGAGAAATCACCCCCCAGGGGGGATGGTCACGCCGCAATCCCTTCTCCTCCATTCTCCTCTCGGGATCTTGGGCACGCACGCACACGCGCCCGGCGTGAGTTTTAAGCCACCGGGTCCGAGACACGAACCGCGGTCGACTACGTGGGAATCCAGCGACATAGCCATTACGCTAACTGCTGGTTCCCAAGTGTATATATTTTTAAAATGAATTTTTAAGATGTAGTATGAAGCCTTTCTGATTTCTTCAGATTCTCATTTTTAAGACATTTTAGTGAACTGTAAAAGACACCTCAGGAACCACTACTTGAAAGAATCTTCTTGTTTTACTTGCTAATGGATACTTTGGAGTTCTTCATTTCTCATAAGGACTTAGAAGGGTTTTTGTAGTAAGATAAGTTTTTGTTGCTGGGGTTTGGCATTCCACAGAGGGAGTTCGGGGCTGTCTAGGGGAGATCAAGGCAGAGTAGCCTGGATCCCACCAGTGTGAAAACATTGCTGTTCCAATTGGAATTCTGCGTGAGATTTACTTGTGGGATTGGACAGTGGTGTAGCAGAAAAATGCAATGCCCTGTAAGGTTGACACAATGTGAAGGTGGGGCTGGAGTTCGGGTTTGCATACTGGAGATACCCCTGAGCAAGCAGGGCAGGTGGTACACGGCTGGCTGAGTCTGGATCTGGGGAATGGATTGTAGTTTGAAGACCCTGTTGGGGGTTCTGTCTCTGTTACTCTTTTTGTTTGACTTATGGAATAAATAATACAAAAAAATTCACTTAAATGTTTTTAAAAGTGTTGGAAAACCATACATTTTTTTTTCTCTTCTTTTTTTTTGGAGAGGTTTTTGCTATAGGGCGTGTGCGCTCTCCAGAAAGAGACAGAGAGAGAAAGTGATAAATCACCCCCCATGGGGGATGGCCATGCCACAATCCCTTCTCCTCCATTCTCCTCTTGGGCACGCACGCACATGTGCCTGGCGTGAGTTTTAAGCCACCGGATCCGGGACATGAACCGCGGTCGATTATGTGGGAGTCCAGTGACATAGCCATTACGCCAATTGCTGGTCCCGGAAAACCATACATTTTTTAAAAAAGAATTGAAGTTCTTTACCTTTGTAGGCCCAAATGAAATTTTCTTTTCAAAGTTTATTTCTTCCAAGGGGGTGGTGGGAGGTAGGAAAGGTTAGAGAGATGTCTGTCCCCCCATCACTTCCCAGATATACATAGCATCTTCATATCAGCGTCTCCCTCTCCTCCTTTCAGCTAGCCCAAATCATGGTAGGTCCCAGGACTATATAGTAAATTGGATTTATTTTAGAGAAAATCTGAAAGTGACCTGAAATCTTAAGGTAAATTATTAAAAGAATTTAAGTTACTCATAATTACCTAGTTAAAATATATAATTACATTTTACTGTTTTTAAAGAATTCGTTATTATTATTTTTTAATTTTACCAGAGAGAGAGAGAAAGGGAAAGTGGGAAAGCAAGGTAAGGGTCTGGGACTCGAACTGTGGTCGGCTATGTGGGAGTCCAGTTCCTTAACTACTACACCACGTGTTGACTCCTATATTTTACTTTAAAAAAGTACTCTCATAGCAGATTAATGAAAACTGTATTTATTCGCGGTTACTTTCAAGTAATTATTGTCAAATTTAAAGTTATACAAGTATTTTGTAAGTTTTGTACACTGACCTAGCAAACAAATTGTTTGCCTTTGTACTTCTGGTAGCCTGTTCTTTTGTATGGTGCATTTCTTAGGGAACAATTTTATAGTAATTAAACAGTAAATATTAGATCTTAAAATTAGTTCTTTATAGTTCTTCAGAGCACTTTGATAATTAAGTTGATCAGGAGGTTTTAATTGGTACTGTCACAGATGCCATGTAATCTGTGCATATGAATTTGAGGAATAAATTGGAAAACTGAAATTTGAGTTTATCTGTTTGCATAGTTGGGAAAATAAATACCTAGCTATATTTATTAGAGAAGTAGTGTAGACAACTAAGAATATAAAATGTTTCTCTGCCTGTAGGAATGATTTTCTAACTGGTGATACTATACTGCCTCTCAGTTGTCTTCTTAAAATTCAAGTCTCAATTGTGTTACCATTGTGTTAAGAGTTATCACAGCTTTATGGTAGTGGGTGTAGCCTACACATGCCCTCAAATGTCCCTCTAGTTCCTTCTTTTTCTAAAACAATTATTTAATTTTATTTATTATTGCTAGATTTTAATTTGATCAGAGAGAAAGGGAAGGTGAGAAAGCAAGCTTTAACTACAGTCTGCCACATCCAGTGCCTTAACCACATCACCTGCTGGCCCCCTCACTTCCATGTTTACCACATCTTTGTCAGTGTTCTCCATCTAACCTGGAGAAGTACTTACCAATAATATGAGTATTTCTTTAGTGATCTCAGTTTTTGTATTTAGATCCATATTTTATACGTAAACATGTACACATATGTACTCTTTCATGTATGCCATTTATTCTAGGAAATCTTTTCTGATTTCTCAGGTATTTACTTTTTCCTCTTTGTACTCTAGTAATTGGTCTTGCATTCTTTGTACTTCAGTTCAGTTCCTATCACATTGTAGGGTAAAAATGTCTTCCCCACTATATCTGTGAAGTGCTCCAGATTAGAGACCATATTCTTCTTCTGTTTGTCTCCAGTGATAGGCACATTATCTGGCACATAGTAGACATTCATTAAGTATTTATTAAATTAAGGGTGGATTAGATTACTTGATAAGAATTAGAGAGTTGAAGAATCATGGTTAATGAATAGGTTAAATATTATACCTAACACATTTTTTCCTTATGGATAAGTATGTATATAAAGTATACTTCTTGAAAAGTACAATAATAGAAAAAATATATGAACATTAAAAGCATACTGAATATTATTTAAATTTCTTTTTTTAGTTTTTTTTTTTTTTTTTTTTTGCCACAGGTTGTGTGCACTCTGCAGACAGACACAGACAAAGAGGGAAGGAAAGTGAGAAAT